AATATTGTTGAGCACGTGAGACGTTCGTTGAGAATTATAGCATTTGTTATAGCGCGACTGTTGAAATTAAGTGTATCGCAAAGTTATATTCAGAAAAAATAAACCAGTTTTATTTAATAAAGGACTTGTGTCGCTAAAGTTTCGTCGGAACGAAGTTACGAAAAATTAACTAACGAACGGAGACGTAACAATACTTCAGAGCCGAATATAATCAAATTAATTGATACTGATAATTTACTTGGCATGGTTGAATTATTGATGAGCGCATACTACTCAACTTCCTGTTAGATTTAGGGAGTGTTACACACACGTAGGGGCTAATGGTGTAGGTCAGAAGAGCTAATTGATAAGTACAGGAGGTTGATAAAGGCATTTAAAGAAAAGGGTCATAACTTAATTGTGATAGAGTACTATAATGTCTTAACTGTGGGGATCAGATTCAAAGTAAGCTATTAGGGTTAAATGCTAAGGTTATGTTAATATGTAAGGACAAGCAGAATTGGTGGCTGGACTTGTGGGATTACTTTGATATAAAAGGGTGGTTTATACTTTGAGCTTAATAGGGCAGGGGCTAACTAGTTTGCAAGAGCTATTAACTCAGCTCTAATAGCAACTTTAAATTAGTTAAAAAGTGGTGATGACTGGACAAACTTAATTCATAAATGTTAACATATACTGATATAGGGAAAAGTGTAATGTAGGTACAAAGTACAGAAATAATTTTAAGGATAGGTTTATTTTTGGTTTGTTGTTAAGTATAAAGCTACAAAAAGCATTATATTTTTTCCCACCACAGATATCAAAGCCCAATTTCTAGTGTTATAAGCCAACAGACTTACCATTTAGCTATCTGGAGGCTTTTAAGTGTAAGCTCAATTGATGCTATAATAATGCTAGAAATATTAAAAATAAATCAGATGACTTCAGGAATTAGGGCACTTTTTGAAATAGAATATTTTGGTATTATGAAAAAAACTGAGACTTACTTAGATGTTAATAATAGCATTGACAGAATATTTTTGAAATACAGGGTTAGATATTGTTCAATAGGGATAGAGTAGTAAAAAATTGGGATATCAGTAGCTTTTTGTAAAATGTTTGTTATATCCTGTTGAAATTCAGAATATCAAAGAGGATAGCAAGGAGGTTAAATCTATTTGGATTTCTTATAGTTGGTATAGGAACAGTAGGCTTTTAATTGGAATTTGTTACAGACCACAAGATGAGACTGATGAAATTAATGAGATACTTCACAGTGAGTTTAAGATTACCACTGTTAGTGAGGTCATAATTAAATAGGGTTCTAATTTTAATTATAAATATTGGGAGAATTCAAAGATAAACCATGAGGGTGACTTGTTTTTAGAATGTCCTGTTGAATTTTCCACAAGGTTATCTGCACTAGCCATCCCTAGATTAGAGGGAAGACAGATATTCAATATCACTCACTGTCAACTTTAGGACTGTCAGCTACTCATTACCAACAAAAAAGTGGAATTGAATATTACATTATAATACTTCTATGGTTGAAAGAGCGAGTAAGTTTGATGATGGGATTCAAACCTACAACACACCAATTGCAAGTTATGTGCCTTAACCACCAGGCCATGCTAAGGCTTCTTAAACTGTTAATGATAGTTTTCTTCATCAAGTGTTTAGGTAACCTACTAGGAATAATGCTTTTTTCAATTTATTCTTAACTTCTAATATGTAAATGGTTGAAAGGATTAGGATTAGGAAAAATATGGATGCAAGTGGTCATTGCTCAACTAGGTTTGATTTTTTACTGAATATGAAATAAGAAAATGAGATTGTGGTTACAAATTGAAAAAAATAATTAAATGATTGCAACAAGCGCTATCTATTGTGAATTGGGTTGCTTATTAAATGGAGATACTGATGAGATGTAGAAAGATTTTTAACAATATTTAATAAATATACAAAATATACATATTCCTTACAGAAAAAACAGTGGCTGCAAGTAAAAGTTCAGGTTAGGTCACTCAGAGTAAAAATAATACAATCTAATAAAAGCATTATAGTTTAAGAAGTTTAAATTGAGCCATTATGACAATAGGCTTAGAGGATCATAGAAGATCAAGAGAATTAGTTAAAAGAACATTAGCCAATCAATGATGAAAAGAGGATGTCTGAAAATGTAAAAATTAACAATAACATTTTTTTTATACATTGCTTGTAAGCAAAGTGTTAGCAGGGTGGTAGGGAATTTGAGGGATGATAGCAGGTGGTATATTTCCTGCTGTTATGAGATGATTAGATTACTAAGATTTACCTTTTCTTCAGTTTTTACTAATATAGATTTATGCAACATTCCTCTCATGAACAGTTGCTAGAGTAACACATGATTGATGAACAAGATGATCATATTAATTATGAGCTTGTTAAGAAAAAACTAGAAAGTTTAAAAGTCTTTAAGGAAGTTAAAGATTGAATATTTAGGCACTTGCTAATTTTTGACATTGTTTTAAGAAGTTACTGCTTATGTTAATGCAGTGGTGGCACCAGATTTCTCTCAATGGTGGTGGTGGGGGGGAGCAAGGCCTCCTTCTGGGGAGCATGCAGTAAATGAACTTTTGATCTAACCGTGATAAGATACTGCGAGGATTTA